AACCCGTCAGTGCAAAGACCAAGATAAACATTTCGCTTAGACCTAGCAAAGTCTGGATGTACGGTGTTAAAATGTTTCCAAGATTTCCCGTCAGACGGGTGAGTCATTTTGCCATCTGTTTGTGAATGTTCCGCATGCCATCTCATCGACGCAGCTGTCCGTTCGGATTGATATAGTCTTTTTAACCTATCAGTGATAGGAAGATACCACATTCGTTGGTAAGGAATCTTCTTACGCCCAGCAATTTGCGGTCTATATCTTGGCTTTTGGCAGAAACGACATTCTTCAAGCTTCTCATCATCTCTCCAAAAAAGCATACAATTATCAACACAAACATCAATCATCTCAGAAGGCAATCCAAGACTAAAAACCAGCTTCTGAATTTCATAATACGTTTCAGCAGCCAAATTATCATCTGGCAAATACTCTTTAATAAGATCTGCCCAATCGTTCATGCAAACTTCAGATAGATTGTGATCTGTTTTTATTGTCATCATCCGAGCTGCCAATGATAATTTTGATAAACCTTCCCTACATCCCTCGTACAGAGGCTGTTTTGCTGCGTTTAACATATCATAAAAGCGTTTCGCATCTGCATTGGGCTCCTCAACAGTATCAGCATGTGTTTCATGAAATGCATCAGTAATCATTTCATGCATCCTATCATGATCTTCACCCTGAACTTGACTACTTTGATAATCATTGGACGCTTCAAAATCCACATGTTCTTGATGATTACTACTACTCCGTGCAGCCATCTAACCACTACTTTGACCATATCCCTCTCCATGCTGATACCAAATAAAGTATTGGGGCATGAACCCTCTATTCAATAAATGCTGCCAGACAGTGTCAATAAGAATATGTTTCCTATTTTTGCATTTCACACAAGGACAATACATTTTGCCGCTTTCAATTACAGTTTCCAGAAGGCCGGCTTGGTACATGAATATTTCCAATCCGTTTTTGAAGTCTTCAGTCAACGACCCATCACCATTTTTGGGCGTATACATCCACTTTCGTAGATCGTATATAGACATTTCAAAAACAAATATTTGACTTTTTGTTTCTGAAATTTGATAGAAATTTCAACTACTAAAAATTTTACTTAAACATTCAAAGACTCAAAAAATTGTGTCTTTATATGTTTTTTTGGGTTGATGGAATAATGAGAGAAGAAAGGGTATATATAAAATTTTTTGTTTGGTTACCAACATATTACCATTGCATATTTACATCAAATTTACGTCGAAATAAAATTTACATCACATTTACATCGATTTTACGTCAATTACAAGATAGAGGACAATTTGTTGTATTATCGATGTAAATATTACGACAAGATTACGACGAATTAAAATTCGTTCTTTATTCGTCGTAACATTACGACGATTTTACGAGGGTTATTTTTTACGTCGAATTTACGACGAAATTTTTGATCGTCGTAAATACGACATAATGTCGTCGTAAATTTACGACGACTACAAATCGTCGTAAATAATTCGACGGAAAAGCCCCTCTTTCTTATAGTGTAAAGCTATTGGCTATACTGAATCATTAATTTGACTTAAAGTTACAAACTTTCCTTGTTAACGAAACCAATGCTGTAACTCAAAAGGATTGGTCCCCTCTCTCTATCACTCTGCTTTGTCGTGTTAAGTTTAGGAGATTCATTCAACAAACGTTGTGGGGTCTGGGTGCATCTCACATCATGAACATATTTGAAACTTTCAACAGCATTTATATTAAACATAAACACATCAGCACTTTAATTTGCTATAATTAGTTCTCTGATTTTGCATGTGCTTTGACTTAGCTTTTATATTGCCAGAAGTTTGGCAACTTGCAGAGAGAACTCAATTGCTATTAAACTGATATAATTAGTTCTCTGATTTTGCATGTGCTTTGACTTAGCTTTTATATTGCCAGAAGTTTGGCAACTTGCAGAGAGAACTCAATTGCTATTAAACTGATATGAACTGTAGACATATGCATATACTAACCCAAAGCATTGTTTAACCATGAGGAAGGCCAAAAAAATTTCCCGATCTTCTTGTTTGTTAACTCTTTTGCAGGAGTTAACTCCAAACTTGATCTGTTAATTGGTGGTATAGATATAGTAGCTTTGATCATTATCATTTACTTCCGAGTGGTGGTGGGGTCTCTCTATGTCTTATCTCATGGAAAATCTGCAGAGAAAAATCGTCGTCTATATTGGTGGTAGGTTTGAAGTTGCCTTTTATGTTTGTCCAAGTTGGTATTTGAAGATCATTGCCTTTTAAGCTCTCACAATCTAAACACATGTCTCTGGTCCTTATTCTTGAGAAAATGAAGCTCAAGACTTCAATTATACCAATCTTCTGGTTTTTCCTCATAACCTTTCATTCTGTTTCTGCACAAACCTGTGGTTACTTTAAACTCAACTCTACTTACGACTTAAACCGTCGTCTAGTACTCTCTTCTCTTGCTTCTAATGTCACAACTCACAATGGATTCTACAGCTCCTCCATCGGCCAAAATCCCAATCGAATCTTCATCATTGGCATGTGCATCCCTGGAACTACACCAGAGAAATGTTCAGATTGCGTCAAAGGCTCAACAGACGGCTTGTTACGGAGCTGTCCTAACCCTCTTGGTTATGTGTGGATAGATTGTTGTATGGTTCGTTATTCCAACTATTCCTTCTCTAAATCACTCGTTATGGAACCATCTCTACCTGTTTCCGATCCCAAAGCCATCGATGTTGATTTGACAGTGTTTGATAGAATCTGGGACGAGTTAATGGTCCGTACGATCACTGCAGCTTCAAATGGATCGTCATCATTTGGACATAAGTACTATGCAGCTAAGGTTGCTTCATTGACAACTTCCCAAACTATATACGCGATGATGCAATGTACACCGGATGTTTCTTCAGGGGATTGTGAGTTTTGTCTGAAGAGAACTGTTGGTGATTATAAGTCATGTTGTCGCGGTAACAGTGGTGGTGCTTTTGTTAGACCGTTTTGCTTTATCCGGTGGGATCTGTATCCTTTTGCTGGTGCTTTCAATAACATTACATCGTCTCCTCCTCCTCAAAGCTCTCAAGATCCTCAAGAATCTCAATCCACAAGATTTTTGGGAGGTTATAGTGGCGATTGTTGTATCCGCTGTCATATTCATGGCGCTGTTAGCTTTAGGATTGATTGCTTTGAAAAGAAGACAATCATACAAATCACTAAAGCTTGGAAGTGAGCTCCTTTTAACTTTTTCCATTTCGAAACAGAGAATACATACAAATTCTCATAACACCATACTTCTACTGTTGCAGCTAATGATGATATTACAAAACCACAGTCACTGCAAATTGATTTCAAGACAATTGAAGCCGCAACTGATAAATTTTCGGGGAACAACAAAGTCGGTCAAGGTGGATTTGGTGAAGTTTACAAGGTATATTTAAGCTCTGTATGTACCTCTGACTGCTTGTTTTTTTTCCATGGAAGCTGAGCAGCAAATTCATATGTATATTTACAGGGAACCTTACCAAATGGAACTGAAGTTGCGGTGAAGCGACTATCGAAAAATTCAGGACAAGGCACACAAGAGTTCAAGAATGAAGTTGTGCTTGTTGCGAAGCTTCAACATAGGAATCTTGTTAGGCTTCTTGGGATTTGCGTGGAAGGAAATGAACAAATACTTGTCTACGAGTTTGTTCCCAACAAGAGTCTTGATAACTTCTTCTACGGTTTGTTTCTAATCCATACTTTTCTTGGTATTCTTTTTGAAACCTAGCTTTATTGTTAATATCATATCGGATATGCAGACCAGACTAAGCGACGACAGCTAGATTGGACTAGACGGTATAATATCATTGGAGGGCTTGCTCGAGGGATTCTTTCTCTTCATCAAGATTCAAGGCTCACAATCATACACCGTGATCTCAAAGCTAGCAACATTCTTCTGGATGATGACATGAACCCGAAAATAGCGGATTTTGGCATGGCAAGGATTTTTGGGATGGATCAAACTGGAGCTAACACTAGCAAGATAGATGGAACCTTGTAAGTGATAATTTTTTACTAGAATGAAATTTTTGATCGTTATTCGTATAGTTTAAACAGAACTCTCAGTTTAGCTTCTTTTTTATTCCAGCGGTTACATGGCTCCTGAGTATGCCATGCATGGACAATTCTCCATGAAATCTGATGTCTACAGCTTTGGAGTCTTGGTTCTCGAGATCATAAGTGGCAAGATGAATAGTAGCTTCAACCAAACAGATGGTTCTGCTGGCAATTTAGTCACACATGTTAGTATTTCTGGTCTCTTTTACCACTATGATCAAAGACTATGGACTGTTTGCTGATAGAATCTTGTATTAAAATGGTAGGCTTGGAGACTATGGAGAAAAGGCTCGGCTTTAGAACTTTTAGACCCGACTTTCAGGGAGAGTTTCCAGAGCGATGAAGTAACAAGATGCATTCATATCGCGCTTATGTGTTCAAGAAGATCCTGAAGACCGTCCTATGATGTCTACAATCATCTTACTGCTCACTAGCATCACAATGACTTTACAAGTGCCTCATTCACCTGGATTTTTCTTAAAAAGTAGCCGCGATCGAGATTCAGAAGCTGAGGGCGCCCATTCGTTTGGAAAACCCGTTCCTTGCTCTATCAATGATGCGTCCATTACCGATCTGTTGCCTCGTTGAAGATTATATTATTTGATAATGCCGTCCTTTTAGTTCCTTGTTCTACACAGATTATGATTTTTGTGTGTTATTGATTTTTAGATGGTAGTAAATTTGATTTGAGTTTGAGAGATGCTTCGTTACTTATATATTGTACAGAGTATGAAATCAGAGGGATCTAGGACTTGAAAATTACCTTTGTACTACTAATACCAACTGATTGTGTACATAACCAAAACTGTTTTTTTACTAAACCGGTTATTTGTAGATTCCAAACCAATATTTCACACAATCCTTTTGCTTTCAAGCTTCGATTTTAGGGATTTTGCTCTCTGATCTTATTCGATCCAGGAGGAAGATTCCGTCTTTCCGATTCTGATGTCTTAAAGGACGAATTTTGGTTAATTTTATGATTAGGGTTTCCTCTGTTCGTTATTCCTAATCAGCATTTAAAAGTTCCGTTCTTATTGCTTTGTCCGCTTTTGCCGTTTTCAAAGTGCTCATGATGGATATTATGATGCTTCGATTGGTTAAAGTTCCGGTTTTTATGATACCCCAGGAGTCAAATCACAGATTCTGCTCAGATTGTATCCAGGGGAGGCGCGTCTGATGGGGTTTTAAAGATTTGTCAAGTCACTGGTAGTTAGTGTTACTTGTTGAGAGTCACGAAGATCTTGATGGGTTATTACAAAGATGTCGACTACAGTTGCATTTACATTGGAATTGCAATGTTGTCCACTATCGTCGTGAGTCTTAACAAGTAACAAAATCACTCTGCTAGTGACTCGACAATCCCAAATTTTCTAGCCGTGTGCTTCGGAACCAGGTCAATCTTTACTCCTTACTCAGTCTAGTCCGGTTTTGCTTTTTACACATTTTTTAGGTATTCTCGATTTTGAGCGTTATTTTTACTGTTTTTAGATATCTCTACTAGGGGGGTTTGAAGAGTGAATGCCAACGATATATTGTTTCTTTATTCAAGTGGCATGATTTGTTTTCATTACTGTTTGTGCTGAGAAAGTAGTAATAAATAAAAAAAAAAGCGATTGAAAGCATCTAAGATATTATTAAATTTGGTTCTTTAGATTGCTCAACTGGGTTAAAAAAATTAATAAGAAAGCTATTGAAAGTATCAAAGTATTATAATTGTAATGCTATTGGCTATATTGAATCATCAGTTTGACTTAAAGTTGCAGACTTTCCTTATTAAGGATTGGTACCCTCACTTTGTCACTTTGCTTCGTTGTGTTAAGTTTAGGAGATTCATTCAACAAACGTCGTGGGGGATCTGGGTGCATCTCACATCATGAACATATTTGAAACTTTCAACATCATTTATATAAGCATTAACATATCAGCTCTTGGCTATAATTTGTTCTCTGATTTTTTCTGTGCGTTGAGTTAGCTTCTATAATGCCATTGACATTTAAGTTTGGCAACTTGCAGAGAGAACTCAGTTGCTATTAAACTGATACGAAATGTAGAGATATGCATATACTAACCCAAAAACAGTTGTACAACCATGAGAAAGGCCAAGAAGATTCTCTCATTAAATTTGGTTCTTTTGTTTTCTCAATTTGGTTTTACAAAATTAATAAAATGCTAGTGAAGGTACCAATTGTAAAGCTATTGGCTATATTGAATCACCAGTTTGACTTAAATTTGCAGACTTTCGTTATTAACGAAACAAATGCTGTAACTCATAAGGATTGGTCCCTTCTCTCTGTCACTCTGCTTCGTTGTGTTAAGTTTGGAAGATTCATTCAACAAACGTCGTAGGGGTCTGGGTGCATCTAACAACATATTTGAAACTTTCAACATCATTTTTATAAACATAAACTCATCAGCTCTTTGCTACAGTTGGTTCTCTGATTTTGTCTGTGCTTTGAAGGTATCAAAGTATTATAAACTCTAAAGCTATTGGCTATACTGAATCATCAATTTGATTAAAAGTTTCAGACTTTCCTTATTCACGAAACAATGCTTGAACTCATACGTCCTCTCCGTCTATTGCTCTGCTTCGTTGTGTCAAATTTAGGAGATTCATTCAACAAACGTCGTGGGGTCTGGGTGGATCTCACGTCATGAACATATTAAACTTCAACGTTATCCCAAAAAAAAACCCACACACATGAGCTCTTTGCATGGTTGCTATCTTACTTTGTCAGTGTTTTGACTCAGTTTTTATTATGTCAGTCTAATTTAAGTTTGGCAACTTGTAGAGAGAACTAAATTGCTATAAACTGATACGAGCATAGAGAGAGGCATATACTAAACCCAAAGCACTTGTATAACCATGAGAATATTGGTCTTCTGCTTTGTCCTTATAAGCACAATCACCTTTGTTTCTTCACAACAATGTTTAGACACTGGAGTTGTTGAAGCCAATAGTAATTATAGCGCTATTCGTCACGAAATCCTCTTGTCTCTTGCTTCTCAGGTGAAGAATTATAAGGGCTTGTACAATGGTTCGATCAGCAAAGGTCTTGACCAAGTATATGCAATGGCGATGTGCATCGATGGGAGTGAACCAAAGGCTTGCTCTGATTGCATCAACGTCGCGGCTCGCCAGCTAATAAACATATGTTCTAATCATACTGAAGCGTATACATGGACACCTCATTTAACGCTTTGTTTTGCACGCTACTCTAACCGTTCGTTATCTGAAACGCTCCTAATGCACCCGCGTTACGCAGAGTACAGTAATGGGGCTATCAAGTCAAATCCTGATGAGATTGGGGATATATGGGATGAATCAGTAAATGGAATGATAAGTGAAGCCCTGCTCAAGAACACATCATTTTCAAACCGTAAATTCTACTCAGCTGGTAGAATATCCTTGCCAAAGTTCCAGACTGTGTATGCATTCGTGCAATGCACTCCGGAATTATCGTCGTTGGATTGTGGCAAATGTCTCCGAGATAGTCTTGGTGATTATAATAAGGACGCAAACGTCCGTGGGAAGCAAGAAGGCATTATTGCATATCCAAGCTGCTTTTTCCGGTGGGATCTTTATCCCTTCAGCGGAGCTTTTAATCCTAGTAAGTCCTCCAACTGCAAAACTATTATTCGCTAAAACTGGTCAAAACCTATCATTTTGCTCCCCAAAGTATTAAAGAAGATTTGAAACATATTCAATCATTGGATGATGGAGTTTTCCTTTCTTGTAAACTATTCTCTGTGATTATGGAATGTGCAGCGTGCAAAAAAATATCAAGGGGAATCATCGTGGCGTTTGTTGTTCCTACTGGTATTGTCATCGCTGTATTGTCTGCTGCAGTAGCGGTACTTGTTTGCAGAAGGCAAAAAACTAATCTTCCAGGTGAGTTGATTCGTGCTCTATTCATCATTTCATTTCTCATTCACCAAAACTCATGCTTTATCACAAAATACAATATGATGCCGAGTCAAGGGATTTTAAATAGGAACACTTTTACCTGTTGAAATGTCGTCTCTATGCAAGTTTTTAGTAGCTAACCAATATTATTGGGAAGGACTTATTAATTCACTGGTGGATGGCTGCAAAAGTTTCAGTGATTAGACAAAGAAATATCATTTGCGTTCGATGTATTTGTGCTCTTCTATATTGCAAGGAATAATATGACACTTCAATGTTGCAGACGAAAGTCCATCTACAAACTCACTTCAATACGATTTGAAGACAATTGAAGCTGCAACGTGTACATTTTCTAAGAGAAACATGCTCGGTCAGGGTGGATTTGGAGAAGTTTTCAAGGTAAAACTTTGTCGACTTCCAGATTTGTTATTTCTCCTGAAACTAAGTGTGTGAATTAACAAATATAAGTGGTGGGATCTAATTTCTTTGTACTCCATATTATGTATAGGGTGTTCTTCAAGACGGGTCAGAAATTGCAGTGAAGAGGCTCTCTAAAGAATCAGTACAAGGTGTACAAGAGTTCAAGAATGAGACGAGTCTCGTGGCAAAGCTTCAGCACAGAAATTTGGTTAGCGTTCTTGGGTTTTGTATGGAAGGAGAAGAAAAGATACTTGTTTACGAGTTTGTTCCTAACAAAAGCCTCGACCATTTCTTGTTCGGTATGTTGCATACACTACTCAGCTTAGATTCTGGGATTTTGGATGATTATTATTTTGCCATTCTTGAAACTTGGAGGATTTTATCTCATAGCTAATGACTTGTGCAGAACCTACAAAGCAAGGCCAGCTGGATTGGGCTAAACGGTACAAGATTATTGTTGAGACTGCTAAAGGAATTCTATATCTTCATCATGACTCACCTCTCAAAATCATACACCGTGACCTCAAAGCTAGTAACATCCTCTTAGATGCTGAAATGAAACCCAAAGTTGCAGACTTTGGAATGGCAAGGATTTTGGGGATGGATCAATCTCGAGCCGATACAAAGAGGGTCGTTGGAACCTAGTATATACTCTCCTTTATTGTCTACTAATCTGAAGTTTGATAACCCATTCATCACTGGTATTTAAATTCATGAATATTTTTTTTCTTTCCTTTGTATCTTCTTAGTGGCTACATTTCTCCGGAGTACATGATGCATGGCCAATTCTCGATGAAATCTGATGTCTACAGTTTTGGAGTCTTGGTTCTTGAAATTATAAGTGGCAAGAGAAACAGTAACTTCCACGAAATTGGTGATTCTGGCAAGACTTTGGTCACACATGTGAGTACAGAGACCTAAACGTTCAATATTTTTTTTTCTTTAGCCCTATTATGTCGACGGTTTTTTTTCATTGATTGATCATTGTGGTAGGCTTGGAGGCATTGGAGGAACGGGTCACCATTAGAACTCGTGGATGCAGAAATTGGAGGGAATTATCATAGTAATGAAGTTATTAGATGCATCCATATCGCGCTATTATGTGTTCAAACTGATCCAGAACAGCGTCCGAGTTTATTGACCATTAGTGGAATGCTCAACAGTGACACGATCACTTTACCGGTGCCTCAATCACCGGTATATGAAGGATTGGAGATGGGTCTACCTCCGATCACATCTGTTCCTGTTTCTACCAATGATTCGTTGATTAATGACTTAGTTCCTCGTTGAAGATGACAGTTCATGAGTTCAATCCGGAATTTTAATCGAAACAGGTAAAATGGCGTTTCTTTAGTTCTCCAACAACTTTTATGAATATGTTCATTGTGTGTTAGTGTGTTACTACATAACACAGTGAAATGTCTTTTACAGGTTAACTATCTTCAAGCTAACTTTGAAGATAAACCAATGTACAATTTTAACTAAACCACTGAAAGAGAAAACAAGAATTTTGCTGTTTGCTCACTCTGTCTGCCTCATCCATTCCCGTGCTTATCCTTTGTTGTGTATTTACTTTGTTCTGTTCGACTCCATCTAGGATTGGAGCTTTTTTGTGTGTTGGTTGAGGATTAGAGATTGAAGGTTTGGTTTCACTATTTTGGTATTTAATTTGGGATTCTGATGTATAGGTCTGAATGTATTGAAAACGAATTTTCATGTTAATTATTGGTGTTGAAGGTTGTTTGTTGACGTCTTTGAAGGAATCAGTTGAATTGATTCAGTTCTTCGACTTTATGTTTCCGACAGAGAATTTTCGTCTGTTTTTTTATTGATTTTCTACGAATCTGCCAATCTGATGTAGCATAAGATATGCATATATACTAAGGAATTTTCAGGCCATTTCACAATCTACTTGCTTAAATTGCCTGAATCATTGGAAGCTCTGGACGCCATCAGACAAGAAGTATTTTCAGTGATTTTGGACTCAAAAATTATATGACATGAAACACATGAACAGTAAGTCATTTGCCTGCTAAAACGGGGAATTATTGAGTTCGGTTATCATAATTCCGAATGTTAACGTAGAATAAGAGTAGCATACTAAGGAATAGTCAGACCTTTTCATAATCTACTTGCTTAAGGGCTCGAGGTAAATAGCTTTAATCATCATCATTTACTTCCGAGTGGGGTCTCTGTGTGTCTTGTCAAGGTCTTGTTGCTCTATGTCTCATCTTCTCTCTCATGGAAAATCTGCAGGAAAAAACACAACGCGGTTTAAGAATTGTCCAAGTCAAGGTCTCATCGTCTCTGTCATGGAAATCTGCAGAGAAAATTCACAGGTATTTGAAGAGTATTACATTCTAACTTCTAACATCTAAACACAAATCTTTGTTTCTGATCCTTTGAGAAAATGAAGCACAAGATTTCATTTTTACCAATCTTCTGGTTTTTCCTCATTACTTCACATTCCGTTGCTGCACAAACCTGCTTCAATGGATTCTTTAACCTTAATTCTACTTACGACTTAAACCGTCGTCTAGTCCTCTCTTCTCTTGCTTCTAATGTGACAACTCACAACGGATTCTACAGCTCCTCCATCGGCCAAGATCCCAACCGAATCTTCGTCATTGGCATGTGCATCCCTGGGACTAAACCAGAGAAATGTTCAGATTGCATCAAAGGCTCAGCAGACGGCTTGTTACGGAGCTGTCCTAACCAAACTGTTGGTTATGTATGGCCAGATTGTTGTATGGTTCGTTATTCCAACATTTCCTTCTCAGGAACACTCGTTATGGAACCATCGATGTTGATTTGACAGTGTTTGATAGAATCTGGGAAGAGTTAATGCTCCGTACGATCACTGCAGCTTCAAATGGATCGTCATCATTTGGACATAATTACTATGCAGCTAAGGTTGCTTCATTGACAACTTTCCAAACTATATTCGCGATGATGCAATGTACACCGGATGTTTCTTCAGGGGACTGTGAGTTTTGTCTGAAGGAAACTGTTAGTGATTATAAGTCATGTTGTCGCGGTCACATTGGTGGTGCTTTTATTAGACCGTTTTGCTTTATTCGCTGGGATTTGTATCCTTTTGCTTGAGCTTTTGGTAATATTACATTTCCACCGCCTCCACAACCTCCACCGCAGTCTTTACCCCAGCCACCGCTTTCTTTGGCTTCTCCGATAAGCGATCCGAAAAATACAAACGGCAAAGGTAAACTCCTTTTCTTATGTTGATATGTAACAAGAACCTGTTGAAACCTGAAATTGAATCACTCTTTTGCTATAATTTGCGGTTTATGCAGACGGGACATCAATTTCTTCAGGGACTATTGTGGCAATTGTTGTCCCTACCATTGTTATGCTGGTACTGCTTGTTGTAGGATTCACGGTTTGCAGGAGAAGGAAATCAGACAAAAGAACAGAGGTTCAAGGTTAGTTGGTCTTTCCATGTTTTTTTCAACCTTTTTTTGTAGCTGCCATCAGTAGTTACATTCGAATTATGGGAAATTGGATGTTGAAGAAGATGTTTTCACTCTCTTTTGTGAAGCTGGTGATGACATCACCCGAGAGCGCTCACGGCTATTCAGTTTTAAGACAATCGAAGTAGCAACTGATAAGTTTTCGGACAGTAACATTATCGGACAAGGTGGATTCGGTGAAGTGTACTGGGTAATAAGTTCTTTCTCTGTCATGTTTTCTCCATTCGTTTGTATGAAGTTGAGGCACTAGAATGTTTAAGTAAGCGGATATGGTGTATGTTATTTCTGTAGGGACGGCTTCCAAATGGAACTGAAGTAGCGGTGAAGAGACTATCGAAATCATCAAGACAGGGCGCGCAAGAGTTCAAGACGAGGCTGTTCTTGTCACACAGCTTCAGCATAGGAATCTGGTTAGAGTTCTTGGATTTTGTTTGGAAGGAGAAGAAAAAATACTCGTTTACGAGTTTGTACCTAACAAAAGCCTCGACTATTTCCTGTTCGGTATGATATGATCCCTTAATACAAGTAAGTTCCGAGCAGTCCTTACTGTAGCTAATAGTTCATATGTTATACAATGTACAGACCCTGCAAAGCAAGGTGAACTGGATTGGACAAGACGGTACAACATTATTGGTGGGATTGCTCGAGGGATTCCATATCTTCATCAAGATTCACTGCTTACAATCATACACCGTGATCTCAAAGCAAGTAACATTCTCTTAGATGCCTTTATGAACCCCAAGATCGCAGATTTTGGCATGGCGAGGGTTTTTGGGATTGATCAATCTCAAGCCAACACAAGCAAAATCGTTGGAACATAGTAAACGCTTTCTCTTAATCAATCTAAGAAAACTTTGTTTGGGGAGACCTTTTTGTTGCTTGTAGGCTAAAAAGCTTCTTTACTTCTCAGTGGTTACATGTCTCCAGAGTATGCAATGCGTGGCCATTTCTCCATGAAATCTGATGTCTATAGCTTTGGAGTAATGGTTCTGGAGATTATAAGTGGCAGAAAAAACAGCAGCCTTTACCACATTGATGATTTTTCTGGCAATTTGGTCACACACGTGAGTATGATCTTTCAAGTTACATGTGCCTCTGTATAAGTAAAGCAATGTATATACTGAATCTAGTTTATCACTTGTGTTAGGCTTGGAGGCTGTGGAGAAACGAGTCTCCATTAAAACTAATGGATCCGACTATAGCAGAGAGTTATGAGAGTAATGAGGCTACTAAGTGCATCCATATCGCATTATTATGTGTTCAAGAAGATCCTGCAGACCGTCCAATGTTACCTGCAATCATCGTGATGCTCACTAGTACCACAGTCACATTACCTGTGCCTCGAGCGCCTGGATTTTTCCTCCCAAACAGGTGTGAATTGGACCCTACTGGTTTGAAGTCTACGCAATCCACAAGCAGATCTATTCCCTGTTCTATCAATGATGTAACGATTACTGATCTGGACCTGCGTTGAAGAATGGTGTTTTCGAGGTACTGGATTTCTAATATTTCTACGGAAGTGTCAACACTTTCTCTTGTGTTCTTGTCACTGCTCTACTTTATGAGACATTTGAACAAATGTGTTTCATTTACTTGTATAACATATACATACATTCTACAAATAAGAAACACGTTTTGAAGCTTTTAACAAGAATTTATTCAGACATAAGGGAGCATCACATCTTCAATGAGTATATAAAAATTGGGGATTGATGGGATCATTGAAGATGATGATGTTCCCTTATGTCTCAAACGGATCTCTTTTGGGTATGCTAACATGTAGATGGATATTTGTGACACTTCTTGTGGATATGTTCACTGTATGAAGTTTGAAATGTTACTGAAACACAAGGATACTCTGCTCTACTGGTTTACTCTTTTGAAGCTGGCTTATGTACAGTATGAGATAAACAAATGAATGCATTGGTGTTTCTCAAGACATCTAACCGAATATCAAATTGGTTTTTATATCTTTAACCGGGTTTTATTACTAGACCACTGAATTAGAAAACCAAAACTACGTTTGCTCATGCTCACACTGTGTTGTGTGTTGACTTCGAATTAATTGCTCGTATGCCATAAATTAGAAAAGGCAAGTTTTGCGTGCCATAAACGAGTCTCGTTGCCATAAAGCATATAAAATACCGATTTTGTCCTTAATGAAATTTGTTATGGCATTTTGAATTATGTAGAAAAATATTTATTTAATTAATTTTTAATATTAATAAATTAAAACAAAAATTAATTTTCATCGTCATCTTTATCGTCGAGATCTATCGAAAATCACCAAAATCTTATTTTCACCATCAAACCTTCTTCGCCTCTGCTCCTTTCTCCTTCTTCTCCTCCTTATTCTCTGCAATCAATTTTTTGTTTTTGTTTCCCCTCATCTCCACCATTATTGAAACTTCAAAACTGAATAAGATTTTTATTTGGGGATTTCACAATTAGGGATTGGATTTGCTAAAATTACTTGTTTTGGAATGCAAATTGGATTGATAACCCAATTTTATGTGACGATTAGGTTTTTGCATTAGTAATTTGCCGAGTATAATTGTTAAATTATAGTAATTTTTAGGTTGATTATAATTGAAACCCGAGTTTATTGCAGAAAAGGACAACTAGTACAAATAGAACAACTGTGAGATAGAAAACAACTGGTACAAATGGAACAACTATAAAATAGATGACAACTGGTACAAATGGGACAACTGGTACAAATTGTACAAATGATATAACTATATTCCTTACAATATACAAGAATGATTTGTCTTACAGCTGAATTACATTGTCGAAGTAGCATGAATATTATAAAATTATCATTTTTCTAATACATATTATTGGTTTCACATCAAACATCTTTTATGATACAAGGAAGACTTTGATAATGTTAACATTCTTTTAATGGAAAAGACAAAAATATATGATTTTGCATAATTTGTGTTATGAAAATTTTGTAAATGAACTGCAATAGTCGAAAATCATGTGGACAACTACAAGATAATAAGTTGTATTAAGGGACAATTGGAAAAATGTTAAAATCGATAAAGGACAACTATGAAAAATTTTGAACAATTGGACAATTTGGTACAACTATGTACAAAATTGACGGCGCATTTAACGGCGCACATGTCTATTTTTGTCGACGCACGTGTGCTCTAGCTTCGTGGATGCGAATAAACAATGGACAACTGGACAAGTATGGACAACTATATGCAACTCCTTAATTTAATAAAAATAGCAATTAAATTAAATTAAACATATAAAGAAAATATCTACTTAAGAAATGCAAACACGTCTTAAACTATAAGGAACACTATTAATAACATGGATAAAATAAAATTATCATTTTTCTAATACATATTACTGGTTTCACATCAAACACCATTTATGATATAAGGAAGACTTTCATAATGTTAACACTCTTTTGATGGAAAAGATGTAAATATATGATTTTGCATAATTTGTGTTATGAAAACTTTGTAAATGAACTGCAATAGTCGAAAATCATGTGGACAAGTACAAGATAATAATTTGTATTAAGGGACAACTGGAAAAATGCTAAAATCGATAAAGGACAACTATGAAGAATGTTGGACAACTGGACAATTTGGTACAACTATGTACAAAATTGACGGCGCACATGTCTATTTTTGTCGACGCACGTGTACTCTAGCTTCGTGGATGCGAATAAGCAATGGACAACTGGACAAATATGGACAACTATATGCAACTCCTTAGTTTAATAAAAATAGTAATTAAATTAAATTAAACATATAAAGAAAATATCTACTTAAGAAATGCAAACACGTCTTAAACTATAAGGAATAATATTAATATCATAGATAAAATGAAATTATCTTTTTTTTTAATTAATGATAATTATAATTTTAAATTATATAGTTATACCACTTGTACTAAATTATACTTAGTTTTAATTGTACATAGTTGTACTTAGTTGTCCATAATTGTATATAATTGTAATATAATTGTATTTAGTTGTCCATAGTTGTACTTAATTGTCCATCTTTGCATTTGAATAAAAAAATGAATAAAATATAATATAACAAAAAATGAAAAAAGATAGCTGATTTTTTTTTCTTCATGTTTTGTGAAGTATTCATAATAGATAAAACAAAACATCCAAAATAACATCTCACCAAAGAACTTACAAACTCTGTAATCTGCCTTACATAAATTCTTTGTAGTAATCCTCAAGCAAAACTTGGCGTCCTTCAAAAATGGCAGCAAAAGGAACCACACTTGTTCTCTTCTTGATGCCTTCAAAAGCCTCTCTGTATCTTTTACGTAATCTCATGTCTTCATTCCAAGCCCCAAACAAATGTTGTGCAATCAAACCGAGAGAAGCTGATGCAACTACTGTGTTTCCAATCCAGGGTATATGTGCCAAACACCAAACGATTTATCCAACCATCTAGAGAAAGAGAGTACTCACAATGGTGTTCATAGCTAAAAGAAGAGAGATGCCAGCAAATAGAACACAAAATGCTCATTGGACTATGATTTTATCTCCTATATCCCTGAGACCAGCTAAACCACTATGTATCGTTGCAAATATGAGGATAAGCATTAACATAGCAACCTGCGAAAAGAGTGGGTTGTACAGTCAAATAATTGCCTCAAGGAAACTGAAATTGGTTCAATTACTGTAATGTATGCATACCTCCGCTGTATCGGAGATGCTAGAGACGGCGTCGATGCATTTTCCAAAACTGGTGGAATTATCGATCCAAACTCTGTTGAGGATGAAGAGAACGACTCCAAGGACAATCAGAAATAAAGCCAGGAAGCAAGCTTCCGTTTGCCTAATCTAAGTGCAGCAGAATCCTCACCGATCAGTAGAACGAGACCCTCAGCATCTGGAGAGACTGGGTCTTCCCGAAGAGTCCTACGGATCAGAATTTTTTGATCGATCAATCTAAATACAGAGCTTGTTGGAGGAATCAACAAAGTCTGCAATCCCATCGGTTCTTTGAGTCCTTGCGCCGAGATGATATTGAGCTTAAGAACGTGAGATTCCTCCTTGTCACTCTTCCCAGCCTCCATCGCTCGCATCTCTATTTGATTTCACCGAGGTGAATTAATCAGCTGATTTCCTGGCAATAGTGAACTAAAAAAGGGAGAGAGGAGAATCTGGAGTGGAAGAAGAGAAGAGAGTGAGTGAGGTTGAGAAGATAAATTGTGAGAAGAAAAAACAGAGAAAGGAGATTATCCAAGTGGTGGAGAAGAAGAAAATGTTGAAGAAAGAGAAGATAGTGGTCAATAAAAAAAAAGTTACGTTGAAGACATATTTTTTTTAATTGTTTAATTATTTAAGAATAAATGTAAGTTAGGTCGGGTTATTGGGTTTAAGTGGAATGGATAGATAAAATTATGGTTGGGTTGGTAATATTATAGATGTATGAGAATAATCAATGTCTTTTCCCAGTTTTTGAATTTTTAAAAAAATCAAAATTAAATTATTTATTAAAGTTATGGCATTTTAGCCTACTTTTTTCTACGTTATGGCTTCGTTCCTCTCAAGATTAAGAATTTGTTAGGGTTTTATTTTCTTACTGTTTGGGATTCTAATTTGTGATTCTAATGTATAGGTTTGTATGTATTGAAAACGATTGTTCGATTTCAAAGTTTCTGTTTTTATGAAACCCATAACATGCTCTGTTTTTTGTTTGACTTTCTGCAAATCTGCTGTAACATAACAGGGGCATCTTCAGACCATTTCAGAATCTACTTGCTTGATTATCTTGAACCATTCTCTTTCTATCTGTTCTTGACGCAATGCAGAGTGTAATGGGTCCATATTATTGGTGGAGATAATAGCTTTCATCATTAAGTTTTACTTCCGATTGGGATCCACTGTTTCTCTTTGACCTGCTTTTAGGGTTTGGCAGAAGTCAACGAATGTTGTCAGGTTCTCATCTTTTCTCAATGGATAATCCATACAGTAATTGAAGTTGACCTTCTAACTTCTAACAATCTAACTTCGATCTTTGGTTCTGAATCTTGAGAGGATGAAGCTCAAGACTTCACTTTTACCAATCTTCTGGTTTTGTCTCATAACCTTAGATTCTGTTTCCACACAAGATATCTGCTTCAATGGATTCTTTAAACCCAACTCTACTTACGACTTAAACCGTCGTCGAATCCTCTCTTCTCTTGCTTCTAATGTCACATCTCACAACGGCTTCTTCAACTCCTCCATCGGTCAGAATCCCAACAGAATCTTCATCATTGCCATGTGTATTCCAGGAACCAAACCAGAGACTTGTTCAGATTGCATCAAAGGCGCATCAGACAGCTTATCACAGAGCTGTCTTAACCAAACAGAAGCTTATACATGGCCAGATTGTTGTATGGTACGTTATTCCAACGTTTCCTTCTCTGGTTCACTCGTTATGGAGCCATCTGAATCCCTTTACAATACCGGAGATATCGCAGATACCGATGCTAATTTGACAGTGTTTGATAGAGTATATGAAGAGTTGATGGTCCGTACAATAGCTGCAGCTTCGTTGAGCAATAATGGATCATCATCATTTGGACAAAAGTACTTTGCTGCTGAGGTTGCTTTGTTGACAACTTTCGAAACTATGTACGCGATGATGCAATGTACACCTGATGTTTCTTCAAAGGATTGTGAGTTTTGTCTGAAGAAAAACGTTGGCGATTATCTGTCGTGTTGTCGCGGTAAACAAGGTGGTGCGGTAATAAGGCCGAGTTGCTTTTTCCGGTTGGATCTTTATCCTTATGCTGGAGCTTTTGAAAATGTTACATTGCCACCGCCTAGACCGCCGCAGGGTTTACCTCCGCCACCGCTTGCTTTGACTCCTCCGGTAAGCGATCCGGCAAATACAACTGGCAAAGGTAAACTCTTTCTTATGTTTTGTAACAAGAAATCTGTTAAAACCTGTAAATGCATCACTGATTTGTGGCTTATGCAGACGGGAAATCAATTTCGATAGGGACTATTGTGGCAATTGTTGTCCCTATCACCGTTATCTTGGCACTGCTTGTTGTAGGATTAGTGGTTTGTAAGAGAAGGAAAACACACAAATCAACTGAAGTTCAAGGTTTGGTTGGTTCTTTTTTTTTTTTTGCAGCTTCCATGAGTAAATCTCCTAACAAACTCTGAAAAAAAGGATATTGAGGAAGATGTTTCAACTTTGCCTTGTGCAGCTGGTGATGAGATCACAACAACAAGCTCACTGCAATTCAGTTTTAAGACGATAGAAACTGCAACTGGTAAGTTTTCGGACAGTAACATGATCGGTCGAGGTGGATTTGGTGAAGTTTACAAGGTAATAAGTTCTTTCTCTAACTGGTTTGCTACTTCGCTGTATGAAGTTGAATCAATACAGAGTTTGATCGTATTTTTTTCTGCAGGGAGAGCTTTTAACTGGTACTGAAGTAGCAGTGAAGAGACTATCGAAATCATCAGGACAGGGCGCGCAAGAGTTCAAGAACGAGGCTGTTCTTGTGACAAAGCTTCAGCATAGGAATTTGGTTAGACTTCTTGGATTTTGTTTGGAAGGAGAAGAAAAGATACTCGTCTATGAGTTTGTACCCAACAAAAGCCTTGACTATTTCCTGTTCGGTAAGATGAGCTTAATATTACTTATCAGTTCCAAGGAGACCTTATAGTAGCTAATAGTTTATATATTATAAAATGTACAGACCCTGCAAAGCAAGGTGTACTGGATTGGACAAGACGGTACAACATTATTGGAGGGATTTCTCGAGGGATTCTATATCTTCATCAAGATTCACGGCTTACAATCATACACCGTGATCTCAAAGCGAGTAACATTCTCTTAGATGCCAATATGAACCCCAAAATTGCAGATTTTGGTATGGCGAGGATTTTTGGAGTTGATCAAACTCAAGCTGACACAAGAAGAATCGTTGGAACATAGTAGACTTCTTCTCTTAAATTGACTATAAACTCTGTTTGGTGGTTGCTTGTAGGCTAAAAGACTGTTTCTTTATTTTGCAGTGGTTACATGTCACCAGAGTATGCAATGCGTGGGCATTACTCCATGAAATCTGATGTCTATAGCTTTGGAATATTGATTCTTGAGATTATAAGTGGAAAAAAGATTAGCAGCTTCTGCAACATTGATGATTTTGATGATAATTTGGTCACACATGTGAGTATTATCTTTCAAGTTACATGAGTGTATATGGTTAAGCCAGAGGATACTAATTTTAACTTATTCACTTGTGTTAGGCTTGGAGGCTTTGGAGAAACGGGTCACCATTAGAACTCGTGGATCCATCCATAGGAGAGAGATATCAAAGTAATGAGGTTACTCGATGCATCCATATCGCACTACTATGTATTCAAGAAGATCCTGCAGCTCGTCCATTGTTACCTGTGATCATGGTGATGCTCACTAGTAGCACAACCTCTTTGCCTGTGCCTCGACCGCCCGGATTTATCCTCCCAAGCAGGCATGGACTGGACCCTGATAACTTGGAGTTTATCCAATCCACGAGCAGGTCTATTACTGGTTCTATCAATGATGCATCGATTACAGATTTAGATCCTCGTTGAAGAATGGTGTGTTTCTTGGATCTAGATCTAAGAAAGTGACTGATCCTTCTATTTATTTGTAAAGGTTTTTACTTTGTAAAGCTTCAAAGTGAGTAAGAACAGAGATATGAAAAGAATGTTATTCCACTTCATCTTGTCTTCATTTTACTCTCTTGAATCGTCTATACAGTCTCTGTTTTTCATTTTTCTATCAGTTTAAATTTGAAACCTTTTTCTCTGATTGTCTATGCCTATGGTTGCTAAGGTCGCTGAAATGATCGACGGGAAAATTTACCTAGTTGGGGAACGAAGGTCATGATGGTGTTCAATACAGAGACGCAAATGTGGAAGCATGAGATGTTAGGGGTAGAAATGAAGCAACGTTACATATTGTCTACTATGTGTAGTTCTTCTATGGTGACAGCTAACAAGATATACATAAGGGATTCTCCGAATATGTTTACGTACCAAAAGAAAATAGATGGGAAACGGACGAGAGGTCGAATCTTGAGGCGTGGCGGAATCCGTGTGTCGTTGATGATGTATTGTACTACTATCATCATCGAGATAAGGAGTTGAGATGGTATGATCCAAAGCAGAGGTGTTGGAGAGGAGTAAATGGTGTGGGAGACTTGTCGTCTGAGAGATCATGGTCCTCACGCACTGTGTGAATTATGGCGGGAAACTAGCTGTATTCTTGGTTGTGATAGAAGGAGAAATTTGGTGTGCGGAGATTTCACTGGAAAGACGCCAAGGAGGAGAAATTTGGGGCAAAGTTGAGTGGTGTGATGTTAGGGTCTATTATCCTTAAAGAATGTGTAGCTGTTATGGTTTGATGCACAGACATGTCAAGTAAACTATTATGTGATCACATGGAATCGGAAATAAACGAATGTGATAAGACATAAATGTGATTCTTGTATCTTTAGGCTGGAGCAGGAAAAATAGAAAGCAAGAGGAAAAAGCTGAGAAGAAAGAGGAAGCCAAGTGTAATGCTTTGTTTAGTGGTAGAATCAGAATGTTTGCAAGTCGTCTTATGAGGAAAGACAAAGACACTTGCGTCTCTATCCATGTACTTCCCTACTTGGCCATGTTCTAACTGCATAGGATCGTGTATGGTCGACAAACATAAAGAGACAATTGCTGATAAAGAAGACAATAATATTATAATAGTATAAGGAACCAAAGTTCCATTGACAATTGATTTATTATATGCCCATAATGAATGTCTTAATTTATTGTCATAAATAAGCTTTACCCAACTTAACTATTGCGGTTAATCAGATGTTAAAATGAAATCCAGTTTGATCAAAATCCTAAACATACGGTTGTACAGTTTAAAACCCTCAACATAACTTTTTTTACTCTGGTTTCTTGGTGGCTTCAGCATTATTGTCAGCATTTGAGTCATTGGTCGTCTTCACGGATTCGTCTGTGGCTTTCTTCTCAGCTTCTTCACGAGGACTGGTCAAATTCTTCTCTACGTCCTCACTCTCTGTGCCTTGGGCAGGTTTTTCTGCGTTTATAGTCAGAGTTGATACCTCATCCCTTGAGGCGTACCAGGAATGTCCACAGGCAATACACTCCAGCTAGATGCATATGACAATATCAGAATGTGATTATTATGATCCACGGAGATGAACAGTAAAAGAAGAAGATCAAGATATTATAATGATGTACTTGGCTTATATACTCACAGTATCTCTATTTTGATTTCGGTTTTAGCATGTAGTAGTCATCCAAAAATAGAGTGGGTAATATGGAAAAGCATACGAACCTGATAGCGATCTCCATGCCCAGCTTGGATGATATCCCTCAGACCAACTTTGATTTGACTGCACCTCGAGCATCTTGCATCAGTCATCTGCATCCGGAACCACACATGACATGATCAAAAACATTCCCCAATTGAAATCCAACAGACTAGATTGATTGTCAGAAATGAAAATAACCTGCATTCGTTCTGTATCATCAGGCTCCTTCTTCGCTGTTTCCTCAGCAGTAAGACCCTCCTGAACCCCAGCAAAACTAACAGTTTAGTCGTTTTAACATGAAAGATATACTCACTTATACTTGCGTACTATGGCAAAGAAGCTTGGAATGGATTCTATGTCAGTGAAATTGAGGAAGGGAGACTGAAGAGAAAAAAAATGGAGGAGAATCTGAATATGTAACATGACAAGTCCTTAACCTTTAATTCAGTGGGTGACATGTTCAGGATCTTTGCTGGCTCTAACTCGCCATTGAGCAGTCGTTTAGCTAGCAGTGCAGTGTTCTGCAGACAAAACAAAAAGGAATTTAAATAGTTAGACAAAACGCATAAGTCATGCTTACGGCAAACTTGTTAAATGTGAAGTAGTAATAAACAAACATAAGGCATAAGGGAGAGAAGTAATGAGATAGCATGAATGCAGATTCTAACCTTGAGATTGAAAACCAGTGTCCTCATCTTTTGATTATACTTATGATAATCCGATGCAAGTGAAACATGTAAAGCTTGCTCAAGAGCACACACCGGAGGAACAGCAGCATCTGGCCAGAGAAAACTCTCATCCTGTCAAGCAGTTTAAAACAAAAGGCTTATTCCAGCAACTACTGAATTCTTGATACATTTCAGATAACCAGCATATAATTTGGTTCATCTCGCTAGAAACTATTGTGAAAAGTGACTGTATGAAGAGAAAGAATATCTGGAGAGTGATTAAAAAAAAAAGGTCAGTTAAAACCTTTAATGGTGTTTCCTGAGATCCATTTTCAGCATCTTTCCCATCCTGTTCAAGATGGGATCCACCTGAACCCACCTTTGCTTCATCGCCAGCTAGTTTCTTCTCAGTGGTATAGCATATGTTCTGGACTGCTTCCAGAAGCTTCGCCAAACACTTGTCACGATGAGAATCACCTGTTAGTGAATCGAACTTCAGTAAGATAGAATAATGCTCCGACGAAATAGCCGCACCGCTTCCAGGGGTCTCAGGTTTTAGAGAGGCATCTTCCTCCTTTTTAACATCAACAGGAGCTATGTTTACTTTCCGGAAAGATCTTTTAGACTTCAACAGATTCTCCATATCAGCAGGCACTTCCTCAGGTTCCAGGTCAGGAAGATCACCCAATCGCGACATCGTCTTCTCGACAAGAAGGTCGATTTCATGTTGTTTGGAGTCTTCATAGTCTTTGTCAGTCAGCTTCCACAGCTTCTTCTCAACAGTATCATAGACCTTCCGTACGATAAAACCAGGGTGATTTTTGCGTATTGGGAGTTGTTTATGGGCTGGGACAAAATACACCACGCATCTGTGCATCACAGATTCAGCTGGCACTTCATCACGATGGAAACTGTAGAACAGTTCTCGTGTATCACTTGATAGCCAGTTCCCACCACCCTTTTTCTCTGCTTCTTCTGGACGATAAAACCACTGTCCCAGAATCATCATGCTTCCATCTTTTTTTTGGGTAATATCCTGCCAAAAAAAAAATAATAAACAAGTTATTTCAACGCGGATATACAACGAGAACTAGTGAACGCATATACAAAAATCTAGCACACCAGTACCTTAATAATGGCAACATATGGCTTTTGATTTGTGTCTTCTGGAACCAACAGCACCGGATCCTCCTGTGCAAGAAAGTAATGTCAGCGAGACTAGAAACAAATGGTCTTTAAGGTCTCAAGCATTGAGCCAAGCAGACATTAAACATAATAAACAGAGCATCTATCGCTTATTCCCTACATCATCTTAGGTTCTTCATAAACATAACATTAGCCTTGATACCCAGTAAGATAACAAATGAAAGATCGTTAACACATTCTAATCATCTCACATAGAAATCAAAGTTCCTTCAAAGCCCTAGATTTCCGGATCCACAACGATGTGATAAAAGCAAGCAATGGAACAAGGTCCACATGTAGACTCAATAAGAAGAGAAAAACAAAAACAAAAATCTCAACCATCCCTGAGTACGTGATTAAACCCACCTTTCCAAATCCCTAAATTTCACAACTTTCAATTCCAAATCTACAAATTTGATCAGGACATGGAAAAAACGCAAGCTCAATACGATCACAGCACTCGAACATATAAATCCATCAATCAGAGCAAAGAGCAGAACCCTAGAAAGCAGAATCAACAATCCCAAGAGATATAACACACAAAACTCACCAGTTCGTATTTGTTGCCATCATACTCGAATTGCTCGAAATGGGTTCTTCTTCCTTTGCCTTTACCCGTAACCTTAACCGATTCACCAATCGGACTCGCGTCATCAGGCTTCTCCTCTTCTTCCTCCGGAGGCGTTTCTTCCTCCTCCTCCTCCTCCTCCTCTTCCTCCTCCTCGTCTTTTTTCGCCCTTCTCTTTCGCTTCCTCTCCGTTTCCTTCTCTTCCTCATCGTCTGTATAATCTTCGTACAGCTTCACCTTCTTACGCTTCCTCCGCTTCCCCCGCTTCCCATCCGTTGTTTCATCAGGGCTCCTCGAGTTCTGTCCCTTTGACCTAGTCGCTGGTACATCGTCTTCCTCGTCACTCGACACTTGAGCGAATCGCCGAGACACCATTTTTTCCTGTGCGAAGAATCAAAGAATTGAGAAATAGATTAATTTATAAGAAATTTTGTTCTTTTTTTTTTTAACAGAAGCTTTCTTATGAAATTTTAGTTTCCCTGCTTAATATTATTCACCCACCTTCTTTTTCACCATTTGATGAAATTTTTATCTCACACCCAAACTTCACACAGGGAAACTAAAATTTCACAACCCCCTAAACTCACAATTTATATAAGAAATAATTTGTTGTTGTTTTTTGGGAGGTTTATATAGACTAAAGATATATATTTTATGCTTTATCCGCGTATAAATTCTGTTATTTATTTACTTTTTTCGCGGGAAATGATTTTATTACTTATCTATCTTGTATTTGATTGCTTATTAGTTCTGTATTTTTTTTATGTATACTTTTATTTTATTGGTTAAGTATCCCGCGCTTTTTTCCCGCGAAATTTTATTGTTTTAACTAAATTTATAAACTAAACATCAAAATTAAGTATTAAAATAAAAATATTTTAAAAATAGAAAATCTGAAAAATAAAATTTTTCATAAATTAAATTATTGAAAATTTTATGAGTTAGATCCATTAGTGAAATGCGTCTTTTATTCAACATGTGTTGTTTTTTAGAAATAATTATTGATATAATTTATTTTTTAAAAATAAAAATCAAAAACAGTTTTTAAATTTTTTTAAAATAATAAATAATTGAATTAATTAATAAAATAGTATATAAAATTTAATATTAAATGAAATCCTAAAATTTTGAGATTTTTACCAAAAATTTCAAAAAAAAATAATTATAATTTTCTATTAATTTTTAGTTATACTTGAAATAGCTTTATTTTTTAATATGTAATCCTTTAAAAAATCTATGTATCATTAGACGTTCAATAATTTAATAAATATAAATTTAAATTTTAATTTATTTTCTTTCAATGCATAAGTTATCAATCTACTGAACTTTATAATTTAATTAATTATATACAAAATATTTCATTACATTGGTATTACAAATATAACTTATGAAATAAAATCTAAAAGAAAACATAATTATTGGTGTAAAAAGAAAATTTATTTCCAAAAATATGGTCAACAGTCATTGTGGATAACACAATAATTAAAATGACATATTTTTATTGGTCAAAATGTTCCAAAAATGGTCAATTTGTCATTGTGGCACATTAATAAAAATGACAAAATAAAAAATCTGAAAAATAACTTTTATTATAAATTAAATTATTGGAATTTTTATGAGTTTGATCCACATGTCAAATGCATCTCATTTAACATGTGTTATTTTTTTTAGATAAAATGATTATTTATTTTTAATTCATTTTCAAACAATCAAAAACAGCTTTTAGAATTTTGTTTAAATATTAAATAATTGAATTAATTAGTAAGATATTACATACAATTTAACAATTAAATAAAACCTTAAATTTTTGAGATTTTTACCAAAATTTTCAAAAAATAATTATACTTTTATATTAATTTTTTAATTATACTTGAAATAGCTTTATTTTTTAATATGTAATCCTTTAAAAAATCTAGGTATAATTATACGTTCAATAATTTAAATATAAATTTAACTTTTTAATTTATTTTCTTTGAATGTATAAGTTATCGATCTACTGAACTTTATAATTAATTAATTATATACAAAATATTTCATTACATTGGTATGAATTTTATACATATATAACTTATGAAATAAAATATAAAAGAAAACATAATTATTGGTGTCAAAAGAAAATCTATTTCCAAAAATATGGTCAACAGTCATTGTGGATAACACAGAAATTAAAATGACATATTTTTATTGGTCAAAATATTCCAAAAAATGGTCAATTTGTCATTGTGGCACATTAATAAAAATGATAAAAATAAAAAAATCTGAAAAATAAATTTTATCATAAATTAAATTATTGAAAATTTTATGAGTTAGATCCACATGTCAAATGCGTCTCATTTAACATTTGTTGTTTTTTTTAGGTAAAATGATTATTGATTTTTAATTCATTTTCAAACAATCAAAAACAGCTTTTAGAATTTTTTAAAAATATTAAATAATTGAATTAATTAATAAGATAGTATATACAATTTAACATTAAATAAAATCTTCAAATTTTGAGATTTTTACCAAAATTTTCAAAAAAATAATTATACTTTCATATTAATTTTTAATTATACTTGAAATAGCTTTATTTTTTCATATGTAATACTTTAAAAATCTAGGTATATTTATACATTCAATAATTTAATTAATATATTTTCCTTAAATTTATACAAAGTTATCAATCTACTGAACTTGATAACTTAATTAATTATATACAAAATATTTCATTACATTGGTATGAATTTTATACCAATATAATTATGAAATAAAATGTAAAATAAAACATAATTACTGGTGCAAAAAGAAAATTTATTTCCAAAAATATGGTCAAAAGTCATTGTGGATAACACAATAATTAAAATGACATTTTTTATTGGTCAAAATGTTTTCCAAAAAAATGGTCAATTGTCATTGTGGCACATTAATAAAAATGATATTTTGTTATTCGTCAAATTAAAAAGTAAAATAAAAGGTTACTTAGTTAATGGACCATGACATATAGTCAACTATGTTATTTTTTTATGTTAATGATTATTAGAACCAAAACAATTTGCAATGGAAAAAGGCTAAAAATGCTAAAAAGACTCCTTAAATATAGAGTAGTTTACGTTCTTTCTAAGTCTTTTGCAATGGAAAAAGGCTAAAAAGGCAACTTTGCAGTTAATTTATTAATTGGAAACAAAACAATTTTAAATTTTTTTTCAAAAAAGCATGTCCCCAATGGAAGAATGAGTAATCCGTTCCCCTGCAGATCATGGCCTTACCACTCGGTCTCCTAAGCGGGGGATTCGGTGTGTCGGCTTGACCTTTCATAAGTGAAAACAGAATAAAGCTTCTATAATAAAGACGCTTACTATGTTAGAGAATAGCCATAGGAGATGGACCCTCTCAAACAAAATGGAGCCGGTTTGATGGATAGCAATATCGATAGATGATTTTTATTATTTTTAAAACAAGTACATATGAGAATTTTTATAACATGGAAGGGGTAACTCATATTATTTCTCTGACTTGGATAAGTAAACAGTTTTTACAAAAAAATTAACATTTTGTTCTCACAATTCGGTATAACATATAGATGCATGGGCAAATTTAGAAAGGGCATAAATATTATTGGAGCCGAACAACATATAACTTTTGTCTTTTGCCATTTAATTTATGAAGTTCATTTTATCTTGCTTGCAAAAATATTAAAAAAAAATCATTAGGGGCATATGAACTTTATATGAAAATCCGGATAATATTGCATATGTTATTAGATTGAAAATTAATAAAATATGTTTATAATGAGAAAATAGGGGAAAACTTGAAAATTCTATTATACTTAAATTTGTGGGTTCAATTACTAGTGGAATCATTAATTCAGTGGTTAATTTTTAGTTATGGTTAATTATACTTACACCAAATCTGAAGTTAGAGTTTTAGAGAATATAATCTATTAGATACATATATACTAATGGACTCTGTTGTGGAAATTTTTAGTCCACCACTGGAAACAAATCTCCTGCAAAATAGAAAAGAAGTCAGGGCCCGAAAAATACGATAGAGATGTATTTTTCGAAGGCACTCCGACTCTCAAGTCAGAAAACAGCTCAACAAAAACCACAATATAGCTGTCGGAGAGCGGGAAGAGATCGGAAAACTTTGCGAAGGATCTACTCGGGCCTTTGAGGGCAAATGGGCTTTTTGCGGTGAAAAGAGAGAAAAGAAAAATCTAAGAGTGATGAAGCTCCACGGTTTAGGAACCGCCGTGGAAATGAACTGAAGAGAGATAATCAGAAAGATGACCAAAAATATGGTCGGTCATGTTGAATGTCTGAGCTTAAGAATCACAAGTATCTAAAGAGATATCATGAGACTTAAGATGGCTTAAGAATGTGAACCCCCTCCCTGTTAGGAGGGATAATGTATTTATAGGGAGTTACCTGACCTGGGCTAGTATACCGGATTGGCCCATGGATTATGGATTGGGTGGGTCGGCCCATCATCTGACTTGACTAAATTCGAATCTTGTGATGGCGTCATGCCTCTGATGGTCTTACCAACTTTTCTTGGCGTGTTCTGCCTGCAACGAGACCGTCTCTTGGTGTGTCTTTATCACTCTCAGTGTACGAGTTGGGTCGGCGGCCCAGACGCGGTATGGTTCTTTAAACTTCTAATTTTCCCTCTGGCCCCTGCAAAAAGTCGCTTTCACCTAACACACACAAGGAAAACACATTAAATGCCCCTTTCGCGGGTTTGAAAAAGTACGAGTAATCAAATCAGACTAAGGCATATTCCTATTTTCGATTGGAGAGAAATTTGAATTGTATTCCCGCCTAAATCGATTATTCATACCTGGCTTGGATCCTGCGATATTAGGATCAGGCTTCCGAGAGTGAATAACTTTGCTCTCTGGGTACCTGTGCGGACCACTCTTTCTTATATCCCGATCCTTCCAGATCACCGAATTTAAGTTTAGGACATAAATAATGTGATCTCTTCTCCTTCTGACCACTCAGTTCCCGATTTCTTTGTTTCTGACAGCATGGTCTGTGCTGTCAGACACGAAAAATCCGGGAATAGGTGGTCTATCATGCCGGATCTCTTACATCCAATTGGATTCGAGGCCCAGTACTATAAACTTAAGTCGTTATAGGGTCGGAGGTCCAATAACAGTCCTAATTTGGTCCTGGAGAGCCATACCTGCATAAAACTATGAATGCCACGTGTTAACACGTGATTCATCCATGTAAAACTAATTGAATTTATCCTCAACAAAGTCATACAGATTTTTAACTGTTCTTTATTGTTCAATATCTTAAAGGTAAAACTGTCTATCATAAATATGTTGTATGAAAAACTGTTTGATATTTTGAGTTATCTGTACAACCGTTCACAACCATTCTGAGTGATGCAAAAGAATTTTCGTTTGTTGTGATTGGTAAAGTTATTATTTTTTTATCGGATCAATCATTATTTGACTAGTGTTACATTAACAAAAAAAGAATTTAGACTAGTGAGCTTATGAACTTACTGAAGCTTTTTGAGGAAAAAGGCCATAAACCACACTTATGGGCCTGGGCCGATAATCTGCATATACAACTGATACGTGTTTTATTAACAGACACGTGACTTTAGAGAATTAGAGACGTGGCAAAACAGGAAACTCCTCTCTTGTTGCGGTATTTCAACGTAGAATAATCTTTTTCGTAGACATCTCCGATATTTAACACGTGGCTTTCTTTTCACCGTGAGATATATAAAACGAGAAATATCTGGATTAAATGGTTTCTGTGCAAATTATTACAATCCACACAAAATTGAAAAAAGGAATTATAATATAAGAAAATAGCTCGAATTTAAGGGAATCACAAATTAACCCATTTCAGGAAAACATTTGCCTTTGAGTTTTTCATCAATCGGTTGTTTCCATTTCCAGGTTTCAATCGAAATTCCCTCTCTTTCTCTTTCTCTCTGTATCTTTCGATTTGATCTGGGTTTCATGTGTACATAGATCGAAGTTTGGTCATCTGGGTCTTGTAAATTTGTAGGTTTTTAGGGATTTTTACTTGTAAAGCGTCTCTCTTTCTAATGGTTTCTCCGGGTAAGTGATCTATTAGGGTTTAGGATTTTAGCGGTGGGAAAGCTGTGTGGCTTCTTCTTGATTGAGTTCTCTTGCAGCTTTCTCACAGGTCGAGATTCTGGGATTGTATTAGAATTTGGTAATCATAGACTGGTAGAGATTTGAGATTGAATTAGACGAATTACAAGGTTATCGGATTTGGGGTTTCTTGATTCTCTGTAATCATGGCGGATGCTATTGGTGCTGTATCTTTGGTGGGTCATCGACCTTCGATTGTGAGGATTTCTGTCAAGAATGAATCGAAAACGCAGAAATCGCAGAACGTGGTTCGATTCCCGGTGAAGGTAGATCCCAGTACGAAAGTGGTTATCTCTGATCTGATGCTGAGTGTGAGAAAGAACAGAATGTCGATGTTCCCGATCAGAGCTCTTGCTATGGAACTGACGAAGGAGATGCCTGCGTACAAGAAAAGAGACGAGAGGTTGCCAAAAACTTGGAATTACCTTGATTCCGGTTCGGATAACAAACCCGGTTTATGGCCTCCTGAGAACAAAGCCGATAAGCCTTCCTTGCACAATCCTTTGTTGAGGCAAGAACGTATGGGTTGTGGTTGGTTAGGTGCGATATTTGAGTGGGAAGGAGTGTTGATTGAAGACAATCCTGACCTTGAGAATCAATCATGGCTTACTTTAGCTCAAGAAGAAGGAAGATCTCCTCCTCCAGCTTTTATCCTCAGACGCATTGAAGGGATGAAAAACGAGCAAGCGATTTCAGAGGTTCTATGTTGGTCGAGAGATCCAAGTCAAGTGAGAAGGATGGCTTTGCGTAAAGAAGAGATTTTTCAAGCTCTACATGGAGGAGTGTACAGACTAAGAGACGGGTCACAGGAGTTTGTGAATGTTCTGATGAATAACAAGATCCCCATGGCATTGGTATCTACACGTCCCCGGGAAACACTGGAGAACGCGGTTGGATCAATAGGAATCAGAAAGTTCTTCAGTGTGATAGTTGCATCAGAAGATGTTCACAGAGGTAAACCGGATCCTGAGATGTTTGTTTATGCAGCTCAGCTTCTTGATTTCATACCGGAACGCTGCATCGTGTTTGGAAACTCGAACCAGACCATAGAGGCGGCTCACGATGGGAGGATGAAATGTGTGGCTGTTGCTAGTAAACACCCGATGTACGAGCTTGGTGCGGCTGATCTGGTGGTGAGAAGACTAGACGAGTTATCTGTTGTGGATTTGAAGAAACTTGCGGCTATTGAATTGGCAGAATTCGAACCGGAATTGGAGATGGAAAAGGAAGATGAGCGTGAGCTGCCTTCATCGGCTGTAGGAGTTGATGATATCTTCTGATGGAAATGATCTTCTTCTGTAATATTGTACAGTTTTATGGATTTGGATTCTTCTTCCTCGTGTAATTCGTATTCACAAAATGTTATAGTTTCTGTGTATAATTGGAACAGGTTACACGGGGAAAGAATATAAATGTACACGTATACATATACTTTTTCGTCTTGAATCTTAGTGTTAGTGTTGTATGCATATCTAAGAACATACATTCTTGTAATACAATACAATCCATGTGTACCCTTAGATTAACCTAGAATTGTTGTTGGCCTGACTTTGTTGGGCCTTTTAAACTAAAACAATATGAACAGTGTTGAATTCTTTTCTCACAAAGATGGTATCCTTTTATAAGTTGAGAACTGAGATACTACATGTAATTTTCTCACTTTTGGATTAGAGAGAATAGACAATTTAACCTATGGAATCTCTGTTTCTTGCTTCGAATGATTTGCGGAGACCACAAGAGTGCCTGGACGAATCCGAGAATGCACAAACAAAAAGACAGACGAATCAAGAAATCAATTACTTGTAAGTGAGGAAACTTAATTCTATGGCCATTTTGACACAAGAACACTATTTATCTAGATAAATAAAACAAAAGGAAATAACTTGAGCAAGTTTATGATTCAATTTTGTTTGTTTGCGTAATTGTTTAGGCTTATATTTTAAAAATAATCCATTTTAATTTACATATACACTAACCACTATTCACTTGTTCTTTTTCTGCATAAGAAGTTGAATTCATCAAAAACCTAAAAGGTTTACACTGGTAGAGACAGATGCCCATAGCGTGTCTTTCACAACAAGGCATTGTGTTAGGTTTTGAAGAGAATGCAAGATATTGAGCATGCCGTGAGCTGAGTTGCTGTATATGTAATAAGCATAGACTTTAAATTAAGTTGCTTCCAGAAATGAAACATACACATCTTGTAATAAGAGCCATATATAAGAGGAGAACGTTGATTGTGAAACAGAAATCAGATAATAACTTCTGAAAACATCATCAAAGCTTTTTCAAAATTTCAGAATTCAAGTTCATTTATCTCATCATTTTGCCAATGCTTTGAAAATGAGGTCCATGAAAAGCTACGTTGATCTTTGCAGAAGCTGCAACCTTGCTAACACAGGATAATTTTGTTAAGCTTCTGAGTGGCGGCTTGTACAACACCGTCAATAGGTACGGGGCCACGATGCAGAGCCAAATTTTTGCAATGTGACAGATTAAGGACCTCGAGGTTTTGAAGGCCCGTTATTAGCGATAGTACTCCTGTAGTGGTGACTAAAGAGCATCGCAGACTCAACCTCTTGAGGTTCTGGAGGTAAAGCACGATTTGGTCAGCAATGTAATCTTGCAAACAACCCAAGTATTTCAAGTTGGTGAGGTTACTACAGTTCTCTCCCACAGCTTGAAACTCAAATGTCCCGGTGATACGCTCATCATGCGCGATGATCAGTGTTTTAAGAATCTTCCATTTACTGAACGCAAACCGGAATGAATCCTTGTTATAGAGGCACCAGCGTGGTAAAACAAGTTTCTCTTTTTACCCTCAAATTCAAACATGTGGGCGCAAAATGCTATCCTGAGTCTCCGGAATTAGTCCCGGATCATATTCCAGTGCCAAGTCCATGTAGATGGGGATAAGGGATTAAGGGGGTTCACTGCTGTCGCAGGAGGCCAAGCATTCTGCCAGACGTCCCGCTTTGGGAGAGTTCCTCGGAATGCCGTCTTTCAACCAGAGAGAGTTGTCTGCTATAAGATAGAGCTAGTTTTTTGGTGGGGTGCTATCTGCTGCTTCAGATTCATTGAATTCCCTCCCCTCAACTGTTTAAGAAGAGAGAATCGTTGGTTCCTTATAGTCCAATCCATTTTCAAATATAGTTGGGAGACTTTACCCAAAAAATGGGTAAAAAAATTGGAAAGATCGGAACATGGGAATAGATCTAATACCTATTTCAATTGTTGTGTTTGGCATCCTTGGAAAGACAAAAAAGTATGAGACATACTTGCCACGCACGAAATCTGTTATCTATGGTTCAGGTGTAAAAATAGAATTTACTTCACAGCAGCGAACATCAGATCGCGCTCTTCTATATAGGAATTGAAGCTAAAGAACAAATTCTTTGGGGCATTGCGGCTAAACTTGGTGATATCCGTGAGACTTCTGCGTACTTGACAAAAATCGAAGAAGTAGTTGCTGATCTTAGTCAGAATATTCCTACGGAATAGGCCTTCTTTATCTACTTGTTTGAGCTTGTCAAGGTCGACGGTGTTCCACAGGGTTTTGTTGTGAGAGGCAAGGAACCAGGAGATGCAGACGCGTGAAGCTCCCTTGATAAGGTCTCTTATGTCGAGCTTAGTGAAGATAAGCTCGAGTATGTCTCTGTCAAGAGTTTCCCACTTAAAAACTTCTCTTGAGAGGTCTGTGCTCTTCATCACGTTATGAAGAGCACCCATACAACAAAAAGAAAAAGGTTAAATTTGTAAAGAGAAAGAGTATCTCCATATTCTATAACTACAATAGTTATTCTCTTTACTCTGTATATAAGAAAACTCTGTACATTGAAGAAAGATATGAGAGTCTATAATACACTTTTTTTTTTTTTAATCATAAACTCTTATATCACTCTATGAGAATTCACATAAAAAGCTTGACCAACAGAAAAGGAATGATTATTTCAAAGGATGGAGTGATTTATTGAGCGTTTCCATCACTGGAATCTTCTACTACAAGAAAAACATTGTTTTACAACGGTCAAAATCATCGTAAGTTCGTTGTAAAAGTCCTATTACGACGAACTAGCGACGATTTGGAAATCGTCGTAAACGACATTTCGTCGTAAAATCGTCTTACAATCTAAGACAATCGTAAACGTCGTAAAAGTGTCGTAAGGGTTACAACGACTTTACATCGATTTTCCTCGATTTGGTTTTCAGCGTAACCGTCGTAAAGTCATTGTTAAAAACCAACGTAGGTTCGTCGTATAATATATGACGTATATTTCGTCGTAATTTGATTGTAATAGTTTTTTTTTCTTTTCGTCTAAAACACTGACGCATATTCGTCGTATTATACATCGTATACTATACGACGAATATTTGGTCGTAATTGGGTCGTACGCATTAAGATTTTACGAAGATTTATTAAATAAATAATAAATATATCACGACGATTATACGACGTTTTTAATTTATAAATGAAATAAAAAAATATTTAATCTGAATTAAAAATTTAATTAAAAAAAGAAATAAATTAAAATTAAAATTTAATTAAAATTCAAAATAAAAAAAATTATAATAATTACAAAAAAACTAATCAAAGATCTAAATCTAAACTAATGTTGTTGATCCCCGCATCATCCTGCTCTGGATCCCTATCTTGCTCCACAGGTTCCTTGCCGGCTCTTCGGTTGGAGGCTTCCGCCGCCTGATCCCCGGTTCTAGGAGGATCAACCTCGAGAGACCGGAACATCTCCTTGTCCGTCTGCACCGGTGGTTGCCTCCTAGAGGATGAAGAAGATGTTCGACGACTCCAGCTGCCCGCAACCTGTCCAACTGCGCCTGGAGCAACGAGTTATCGGCCCCCATAATCTCGAAGAGACTGTACAACTGGTCGATCTTCGTCTCATACTGAGTCCGCATCTGATGGATCTCCTGGCAGATAACGAGTGGATCCTCTGCCCGGATGATGTCGTATCAACTGCGTGAGGGAACAAGTTTTACCCTTAACAAAACAAATGAAAGCCGCAAGTGCACAGCTAATCAGTTGTAGTATTTAGGGATCGAATCCACAGAGATTTGTGTGCCTGGTATTTTTTTACGGTTCTCAACTTTATTTCTAGACTAAATTGGTTTTAAAGGTTGGTTGTTTGTTTTGCGAATTAAACTAAAAACAAAAAAAGTAAATAAATCTATCCTTAAAAGCAAGTAAGAAAATCGAATGAAATGCAATTAGAATAAGCAGAATATCGAATGAAAGACTAATAAGGCAAGTGAAATATCGCATGAAAGGTAAATTAAGCAAGTAAAATATCGAACTAAGGAAATTGAAATGCAGGTCTAAGAAAGCAATAAAAATCGATGGAGTTGTAAACTATGGCTAAAAACGCTGAGCTTTTGGGAACTCTAAGGGATATAATCGGTTTTAACACTAGGGTAAATAGATTGGGATTGACGGATATCGATATATGGGTTCTAGAGCTAGAGTACGGCGGTATGGGGAGAGAACGCAAGAGCTGCACAAGACTCGTCAATACTCACAATCTCGCCGCAGGTAGGTTTCCACTCCTACGGAAAAATCGCCTGTTTCATTCTAGGGTTGATACTTAATGAAAACTTTCGCAACACTAACTATCTAGATCAGATACTAGGTAATCAATCAAGCATACATGCAATAAGAACAAGAATAAACAGAGAACAGGTCGAAATCCCAGATCTATAAACCTAGATGTCTTATTCGATTATGAGAGCCCCTTTCGGGAACCCTAAGCTTAACTCGGGATCTACTCAGACATGGCTGAGGTCGACATCATCATCGGTTTTAATAAAAGTAATGAAAAACAGTAAAGAAAAGAGATAAAGAAAGCTTCTCTATTGAAGAACTCGGACTTGAACAATCTTCTACAAAAATCTCATAAAAACGGCTAAAGGAAAAGGGTTTCTGTAAAGTGTGTATTGCTCTCCCTAAAAACAACCTAAATGACATGTATTTATAGTCTCCAATACTCCATGGTCTCTAGGGTTCCGGAATTGAGGCTGAGAATGAATTTGAGCTTCAGATACACGGGCTTTAATTCGGAGATTGATTTCCACGGTCGGGAGTGTTGTGACCGCGGGGATTGGCTGGTTGGCCGCAGTCGGGAAGCTTCTGACCGTGGGAAATAGGTTGATCACCGCGGTCGCGTGACTTGCTGGCCGACTTCGAGTGGCTCTGGGGCTAATGGAATATCTTGAGATCCAACCGTTTGAATGTCTCCAAACCAAGTGCATTTGAAAGCTGGTTGATTCTTCTATAAGTTTTCCAATTTTGAGGGTGATCAGACGGGGAGAAGGTCTTCGTCTCTCCATGAGAGTTCTGACGGTCTGCATTTATCCAAAAGAGTCATTTTGTTCCATTTTGTGCCTCTTTATCCCAAATTACCTGAAAAGTCTTTTAAAATCTGGAAACATAGAAATCATTTGAAAACCTTTGAAAATGAAGTAAAAACACCTGTAAAAGATATTAAAGTGATCCATAAAAATGGTCAAAATCCGGTGTTATCAACTCCCCCAGACTTAGTCTTTTGTTTGTCCTCAAACAAAACAAAGGCTAAATCTCGGCGAGAGGTTTGAAAACGCAGGAACTAAACAAAATCTCAGAGACCAAACTTCTAGACCAATATCAATCAGTATGCATCAATCGGGAATAGCCTAGAAAATTCTCACTAGCAATACAGGCATATATGTCCATTAATCCGTCATGCGAAAATCTATGCACTAGGATCTAACTTCCAGTCAACTAGCTCTTAACATTCATTAAAAATCTCGATGGTTCTCATCAAAGAAGTTTAGGCAAGGCAATCTAGGCTAGGTGTTAAAAAGGTTATTCTAGGGGTAAGGCTTAAAGTGTTTATGGGTTACCTGAAGATCTGGAGGATGCAGGATATTATGCAAAACCGCAAGAGAGAGTTAAGCTGTTGGTATCCACAGTTTTCAGTTACTCTCTTCTTGCCATAGATTCCTGGTCTTCTTCCTCAGGTTCTCTCCTAACTCCCCCAGACTTAGATTTTTGTAAATCTTTCAAAACCATAGCTCCTTAAACGAATAGTGGTTGCTTATTGCTCCACAAATTTTGACAATCTAAGACTCATTGGGCTTTTTGTTTCCCTTTCTCTTTTCACGTTTTTTTTTTTTTTTTTTTATTGAAAGGGAACACCTTTAGATATAGAGTCTTAGAGAGCACGAAATTACCAGTCAATATCTGTCTTGTAAAGCTTCATGATGTATCTTCCTTCCCAATTCCATTCAGTCTTCTTTGTGAGTGACTGAAAACTGCGTCGCTCCTCTTCTCTCCGACGTTTTTGCACATATCTGCTGATATAAACTAAAGAGAGAATGCATGAGGATTGAAAACAAGGGTTTCGGGTTTAGGGTATGGTACCAGATAAAGATAAATTGGTCATCTAGGACGACAAAGAGTGGTAAAAGTAAGGGTAAAAGACGTCCTAGATGTGTATGTCGATGCCTGCCTAAAATCAATGATGAGAAAATTAGATATCAATATTAAGTCCAAATAAAATGAGCTAGTATATCCTGTCAGAAAGAATCTCCATGAATAGAAGTCCTCTGGTGGGAGTTCGTAGTGCAAGTACTCTAGCTACCGCCTAATCTAGTGCTAACCACAAATGAGCTATTATGCATAATGTAGAAGCGTGCAGGTCTAAATCATCATAGTCTTGCGTCAAACATTCCTGAAAAATACTTAATGTCGAATAGGTTACATATTAAAATTTAAAAAGTACTTGGAATTTAAAAACAAAAGCAAGAAAATGATTAGTACGGATAGACATCCTCCCCCAGACTTAAATCACACTGTCCCCAGTGTGAAAAAGTTGGTGAGAAGATGGTGAATAAAAGCAAAATAAAATAAGATAAAAGAAAATGATGATAGAACCGTGATGGTAGTGAAGTGCCGATCAATCACTCATCCTCCGATGTGTCGTCTGCGAACTGGTGCTGCTCCTGTAAGAAGGTGACAACGCGCTCAAAGCGTCGTCCCTGTCTCTTAACTCTGCGGTCCAGATCGGAATGAGTGTGAGATGATGTAGATGATGAGGTGTAGCCGGTCGAAACAGATGGCTGAAAATGGGCACGGGCCGCAGCTGCATCACGCTTCGCCTTGGCCACTATGTATTGGCCAATGGTGAATGGTAGACGAGGTACAGAAGGCAGAAAATCATCGGGTTCCGGAGTCCATCGCGGATGTCCTCCGTTACACAATCTCGGGATAGATGCCGAAGGCAAACTGACTCGGTGCTCCTCAGTGCCAGTGCAATACTTGTAACCAAACCTGTCTGGATCGAAAGCGGCACGAGAGATAGTGTGATCGCGAGAGAGATAAAGTAGATTATACCAGATATCGGGAAGTGGCTCATCAGATGAGAAATCGAATCCTACAGCCTGAAGTATCGCTGTAATATCACTCCCGAAAGCTGGAGTAGCGTCCTCGCAACCATGTAGATCATGCTTTACCTTTACCATATTCTGCGCTATGATCCAGGCAAAGCAAGCAAGTCGTGGGTCGTCCATAAACGGAATCTGAAGTGTAATGAGCTCAGTCTTCAAAACACCTCCCATGTTGGCTCTAGAGAAGATCGTGTGTGCTAAGAGTTTGTGCACAACTCTCACTGCTGGATGCGTAAGAAGTGCTGACTTCGATCTCCCACTATCATAGACTC